ATAAGTTACGCCAGCAAAAGCTAAAATAAACTTTCTTAAAAGTTCATAACACTTCTATCGCAGATATACTTGCAGAAATAACAACACTTACCTTAATGATTCCATCTATGAAAATAGTGTAACAAACTTCTTAAATTAACAGCGAAAAACTATCAGCCTAGAGAACTATCTGACTCAGGACAGACACAGACAAAGCCAGTAGCATAGAGAGGCCCCAGTCACACAAAAGCTGATATTGTTCTCCAGCTGAGTGAAAATCTCACTTGTAAATCAAACGACATCTGCATTCAGAATCACCCACAGAAAGCGTCCCTGGAGAGGTGACCAAACTACTTGACTCAAGAGGAGAATGATTTCTCTTGTCTCCTTCAATGTAGGCAGCTGCATAAAATAGCAGCTTCTGGTTTTACTTTTTAGCAAACCTTGCTTCCTTTGATGCACCAATAGAGATGAAACATAATGTGTAAAGATCTTCCCCATTTGGCACAGCCTTGAAGCCCAGTATACTTTTCGAAACAAATAATCATTAAAGTAAAATCTTTTGTCATGATACAGAAAATAGCCAAACACCAACGCCTCCAAAATTAGTAACCTCTTCATATTTATTTCCAATTTCTTTATCGGTACTGCTGGCACAAGACAGCAATGCCTCCCAGGATCTCTTTCATGAAAGTCAACAAAAAAATCTTAATTCAAGCATTTGATAAGGCTTCTAAAAATCTGTCAGTGGTAATAAAAAGCTGTTTCACTACTTAAATTTAACTCTGTTTTTCCATAAAGTTATTTATATTCTTTACTTAACTTTGTTACATTCTTTATGATCTAAATTGGATACCAAAATGAAACAATCTATAAAGATTTATATAGGCATAAACCCAGACAGTTCCAAGTCACACAGAGGAATGTCCTACAGCATTCACCAAAATTTTGATCATCACATTTCTAACAGAAGCGAGGAAAAAAAAAAAATCTGCCCAACCCAAAGCTACTCTTTCAATTATTAAACAATAAATTTTTTTTAGGTGGTGAATATTTCTAAATGGTTGTTCCTAGAAGGCCCTTTTCTTTACTCTCCCCAGTAAACAAAATTAAGTTTTTAATAATGTACTGTGTAACTTTTGTGTAGGAAAAAACAGAAGGATTGTGTAAAATTATGAAAAAAACACACAATGCAGCGATTCAATAAGCCCACATCAGGTGTATTGCAGGATTTGGCACAGAGTCAATATAAATTACTTTGTAAGTAGTTGGCACCTTTTCCCCCCTTGTTTTGAACAGCTTTGGCACCCAAATAGTGGAAGAGAGTCTTAAAATAGCTATCTAAACAGACATACAGAAATGAATCAATTAAAAACCATCAATGGGATGACAGGAACCCTGCCTTCTATGGCCTTCAGAGGTGCCTGTCCTCATAACATTTAAGTTAATGAATTACTCAGAAAGAGGACTTCTATTTTGTGATCTGTAATACCTGAAAAAAACAACACATGGGTAACTTGCACTCTTAACACAAAGATTGTCCTTTCTTTTTTTTTACTTTCAGAAAAAGTTAGTTTAGAAGCAAAAGAACGTGTTTCAGCAGTAGATGTGATCTATCATCATGTGCCTAATCTAAAAATAAGGATAACTCTTGAGAAAGAGTAGGAACATGAGAACAAATTTAACTGTGGAAAAAGTACAAGGAAGAGGAACAGTAGTTTTAAGGCAAAGTGACAGCCACAACTTCACAACAGATTAGAAAATTCCTACTTAGTGGAATGCAATGCTTTACAGGTGACTTCTGGCGGCCTCATTAACCTCAAATACTCTGAGAGGAATAAACAGTTTCCCTGACAGAACTTCATCCAAGTACAACTGATGATTTTTTCAGATTTCTGAGAGAAACTGGAATAGTATCAATGCATAAACAGCAATCAATTTCCCACATATGTTACTGAAATGAAAAAGCTACCCTTTCAAATAATACTGTCTGTAACTTGCATCAGTCTTTCAAATATGTATTTAGTGACATTGCAATCTTTTAGAACTTTATTTTGTATTATTCTAATCAAAGTATTTTTCTGAAGATTCTATCATCCCCCTTCTACATAGCATAATAAAACAAAAATGCTTTTTCATAGCATTTTGTTCTCACAAATATGTTATTATAGTGTGCATTTAAATGTATCCCTTTCTGTCTAAGAGAATGACCATGACTTTTAAATAAAAGAATGGTAAAATGGTACGAATTCATTGCAGCTTTTTCTTGTTTAAAAGGCTACAGCAGACCATTACAGAAATAATAGATCATTAGCGAAGTACTATGAACCAGACTGGTACTGTAAAGAACAGAAAAAAGTAAAAGTATTGCAGAAGAGTGGGTTAATGTCTGGCAGACCTGTCATACAGCTAAATACTTAAAACTAAGGCCATCTGATTTACCAAAGCCCAAGAAGTTATATGACAACATAATAATGGTTAATAGATATGTAAAACCTTTCTGCATGGGTGACACAAGTGTTTTGGTTCTTATTGTTACAGTCATGTTGTTATCTTCCTGTCCAGATTTATATTTCTCGTTCCTATTATCTGACCACCTTTCTATACTGCAGCATGCAATATAAAAAGACAGAGCAATTTAAGCATCTGCAACACAAGCTAGAAGAACTTACACTGGAAAAAAAAGATTCATATTTTAATGCAAATTGCAAGATGAGTTGTTGGAGATGCAATGTAGGAAAGCCATGAACTCTGAATCCCTTCTTCCTGCATGCTTCATATAATTTTCTCCCATGACTGTTTAATGTAAAATGCATAAATAGTTATCAAGAACAAAAATTAGAACTGTAGAGTCTTGTGCCAGAGCAATGACCTCATCACGTAACAGCTATCTCCGGTTCCTCGAGTCATACGGGCAGCTATGTTGTGGGGAAGCTTTACCAGAAGGGTTATGTTCCCATACAGGCCAGTTCAGAACCCTGCAGCTGGGTCCTCTGCTGGAGGGAAGTATGTGTGGATTTCAATCCTTTAAACTTGAAGGATGCATAGAATCCAGGTGGCCCACTATTCACCAATCACTAAAAAAACTGTAAGAAGTGTACAAATCATCTACTACATTTTAAAGAGTTTGGACACCAAAGGAACTATGGCACCACTTACATTCAGGTCATACCCTTGCAAAGCTGCAAATAGGAACTAAAGCATTCAACAATTTTTCAGAAACTCTTTAAAGTTTCTACAACCATAATCGTCTACCTGCAGATCAGATAGCTGGAATGACTCCTATTGCTGTGTGTCTTTCACTGGGTAAAAAGCATAGACAACTTGTTAGATTTGTGATATTCACTGAGGTATCCAAGCTGTTAAAATTTAAGACATAGTAGTAGAATGGTCATCATCTCTATGGTCACATGAGCATTTTGGTTTGATTCAGGAGTGCATTTTTGAAATGAATCTTCTGATTACACCTACCTACCATTCTTTTGTTTTCATTGTACAGTGTTACCAGAGCATATTTACTCTCAAATGACACTAAAATAGAAGATGCTGTTCACCTACCAGTGGTTACTCAGTCCATAGGACTGCAGTATAGCTAGTGTAAGAATTGTTGACACTGGGTCCTCAGTGTCAACTGCTTTGCTCTACAGATCTGTTATTGTTATGTTACAGTACTTGCTAACGTGGACATAGCCTATGCCTGTGGATCTGGTTCCATTTTAAGTTTTTTCTCAGTGGAATGTGTAGATTGCTTTAGAAAAAGTTTGTCTTGCCTGAAGGCAAGTCCTCTGTCTTCAACATGGAGTATCCATATATCCCAGAAAAAAATCAGGGAAAGTTTTTTCTGCTTCTTTTTCACCTTTATTTTAGACCCCAATACTGTGTAGACACAGAAATCAATGACAGCATGATATGCTTTTGAATTTGTCCTTCAATGAGGGTCTTGGCACTCAATGTGAGGGATGAAGTGTAAGCCTGCAGTGATGCTAAAGGTCCCTGTTTTTGCAGACAGTTGAAGTTCAGCAAATACTTCTACATCAAAACTATACGTATGTTTTCCCAAACTCACACAGTTTTTGAGAAAGTACAATGTATTTGCTTCTTAGGCCTGCTTGGTTAAAAAACTATTGGGAAATATAAATAGGGTTTCTGCATGTGACAAGATAACAAGAAACTTTGAAAAGAGGAAGTCCTCAAGGCACAGAAAGATAAGTAGCGTGCAAGCATTTTTGTCTCAAACACAAGACTACTTGCTTTTTAAAATTATTTTTGCAAAATAGAGCGCTTTAGTTTTCTGGAAGAAAAAAAAAAGAAATCTGTGAACCATCTGATATCACAGTTGATCTGTATGTGTAGCCAGACAGTGAACTATGCTTACAGATAGACAGTGAAGAAACGGCAACCAAGTCCTGGTTATGCCTACCAGGAGCACTAACCTGAATCTTCCGGCTTTGTAATTTTTGCACACTTTCTTGTGAAACACCCCCTGCTGTCTTATGGAGTAATAGCTCTCACGAACCACAGAATAATACAGATGTAAATGACTGAGCCTGTTACATGCTGTGTTCAAGTATACGACAGAAACAAGCATATCTAGGTGTTTCACACAAAAAAGTCATACTTGTAAGAATATCCATAGAACTGGTGTAAGATAATTACATTACTTAAAAATAATAAAAAAGGAATGAATCTGTACAGTTATAAAGTTGCAAGTCACATTTAAAATAAAAAATATAATCCAGCCCTTACCAAAAGAAAAAAGCTTATTATGATAAATTATTTTAAAGCAAAGCTATTAATTCAAACCAAGTCATTAAGCACTGACACATTCTAAAATATTCTGTATATATAGTCCTAGAATGTATTTTTGTGTAAAGTGCTAGTTGATTGTGACATTCCACACCTAAATAAATTCATTTTTGTATGAAATAATAACAGAGAATATATTCGGGATAAAACAAAACATTATCCAATGAACAACAGACACAGAAATGCACTCAAATTGTTTATCACAGAAAACTTACATCTAGTAGCGTGTGAAGATGCTGATCCTGGAAAACACTGTGAAGAAAATCTAAGTCTTTTTCGCTGCAGTCAGTAAGTGCATGAATTTCTTCCAGGCTGTCCAGCACCTGTGAGACTGCTCCTATGGGGCAATAAACAGGAAAAAAAAAAAAAAAAAAAGAATAAAGATCAATAAAGCAAAGACTCACAGTAAACTGAACTTTGGAAAAGGAAACTTTCACTTTATCTGGTACAACTGGAACAGGAATCTCAGAAAGCTGGAGTTTTTACAGGAAAAATCACCAAATAAACTTTACGTATATCAACAGTGCCCATATATAGTGTAATTATACATAAGAAATGGTTTAACTGAAGAGAGGTTAAAACCCTTTTTTATTAAGCTTAGCTTTGTTCTATTTTAGCCTGGTTTCCAATGCTGTCTTACAAAGTCACTTGGATTATCTGCCCAACTGCCTGTCCTCACCATTCTCACCCCAACCTTCTCTTTTTTCACTTTTTAAACTGCTGGCCAATTTCAAACACATATTCCAAATCAGTAAAAATTTGAAAGAAGCAACGTTTTCACAAATTCTTTTAAAATCAGCATCTGGATAGGGGAAGGAAGAGAAAGAAAGACCTGACTGCTGTGTCCTCCGGTGGAGAAAAAAAAGGCTGTAACATGAGCTCCGGTTTTTGTTCTGTTTGTTCTGCTTGCTTAGTTATCTCAGACCCAGTTATAGCACTTGCTGCCTTTTGACCAGTGGATTGGTTTGGGTCATAGGAAGATGGGGATGATTTTTATATGGCATAAGGGTGAAAAGAGAAGCGAGGGATATGAGGACAAAAAGGAGAAACAGGAGGCATTATGGAAGGTGGAAGTCCATGAGGAGAGTTGAACTCACAGCAGGGGAGGTTACAGAAACACAACACAAATCCACAGTAAACCAGCCCATATTGGTTCCTTGTGTAACAACTTGTTTCACAAATCAGATATCAGTGGTGGCTGCCACTTGTGTGCATTACTAGAATGCTAACTTTGGCTTATCTAAACACCCACAGCCCATGTCTTCAGTTTTTCCACAGTGGTATAAGCATCTGGAAAGATGGTAGCATATCCAGTGGTCTACAAAAATGCTGGTGTCTGACAGTGAACTGCTGAATGCTTTTTCATAAATAAATTCTTAATTCTGGATACAGAATTCTACACATTCTGTATTTCACTAATTTGTCCTTAATATGTTTATTCTGTTTACTTAATTCATTTGCCAGTGTCCTTTTGTCAAGATAGATAATATCTAAAAAATGGCTGTATTTCTTGAAATTCCATCCTCCACTGTATGAACAATTCTTACCAGCCTTCCTTAACTCAAACCTTTTTGTAATCTATTGCATTGTCAGAATGTAATAAAAACAAAAACCCCAACCCCATCTTAACCACAGAAGGAAACAAGTTAAATTCACTTATTTCTCTGAAAACCTTGAAAAACTGGAATAAACATAACAAAATACACAAAAACTACTATAGAAGACTTGAGACCTCATGGCTTAGAAGGATGAGTAAGTTACAAGTGTAGAAACTCTTGCATTGCATTTAGTACAAATCTCAACCTAGGATTCTCCTTGCACTTCCTTGTACACCAAGGTTAAGAACAACAATATTCCTCTCATCACAACTCATGGCTCAGGAGCAATAAAACTTCTTAGTCCTCTCGCATTAAATGTGTCTGACTACTTATTTCCAACTGATGTATTAATTTAGGTTATGCTCCTTTAAAAAAGCAAGTAAAACTAATGGTTTGCCTTACTGTAGTTGCTGCACATGGGGTCAGGTGCACTGATGAAGAGAAAAAACTGCTCTGTCTTTGATAATGAATAAACATGCTCAGCTGAAAGGAACTGTCCATATTCCTCTGCCTGCACCACAGCTTCCACACTGGGAGGCACCGCAGGAAACCTGAGAAAATACAGGCACTGGGAATCTGCTGGTAAGAGCATGGAGAGATCACAGCTAAGCCTCAAAGGCAAGGAAGAAAACCATTACCTAGGGACCCAAAAGGGCCTGTGCGCTGAGTTTCTTCTAATGTTTTCAGTATGTCAGTTAAAAGTTAATGAACTTAGAGATCTTCAAGCCTGAAGGAAAGTGCTTGACTTTCCAGGATGCAGTTGGCAGAAGGAAATTTGTTAGAATTCTCTTTTTTTTCTATTCTTGTCATGCTCAGAGTTTAAATTAGTTATTTTCTTTTCTAGCAAAACTTCGCTTTCTGGGTTCAAAGCTCTTTCTGTGTATTTGGACTGCTTAAGGAAAACTCAAGATAAGATTCACTTCAGAGGCTTGGATACGTTAAGAGTCTCTAATACTGCTCAATGTTGCTCATAACTACTAAAGCTTGAGCCAAAACCAGAACCAATGAGAAGCATGTTCAAAGTTGTCTGCAGCGCTGTATTATTGTGACACACCGAATGCTCTGGACCACCACGTTATTTAATTTACAGTATTATTTACTTTGGGAATTTTATTTTGTGGAATACTTTGAGGTCTTTCAAATAGAAATAAATGTTACTATTTTTTAATATTTGCTTCTCAACAACCTTTTGAATATCTGGGAATTGCAAAATATTAAGCTTTGTTCATTAGGTCTTTTTTCTCCTGTCCATTGGTCACATTGAATAGATGGCTAAAAAAGAAAGTTTCCAAGAATATCCTTAACAAATCTGATGAGAAGTTCTGACAGTGACTTTGCTAATCCCTCAAAATCACAGTTCTACCTTATGTTTTTTTACCTATAATTTTATGCTGTATCTACTGCCCTGTCTTTCATGCATTTACAAACAACAGGCACCTGCATGAGAAAATGCCATAGTGGCAATATACTGACAGCATGTCATCGCATAAAAAAGTGATAGAACAATTCTGCAGGCATTTTTGTAAACACCTCAACTCTCTCTGTTACAGACATCTGGTTAAAAGCCTAAGAGTACCTTTCAGAAGAGTTTTAAATTCAGATAAAAGATACTACATAAAATAAATTGACCAATCTTTACAGCATACCTGTCTCTAAAGAGATTCGTATTCTATCATATTTAAGCTAAATTTCTAATCTTTAGGGAAAGTGTAAAAACACTCAATATTTATAATTAAAGCTTGTATCCTCCAGAAATAGGATTTAATCTCTTTTCATCATTGCAGATGCACCCATTTTAGCCTCAGCGTAGATAATAAAGGAAGGAATTGAGTTATTATACAGTCATACAATCTAAAAGCTCAGATTTCTCATGGTCTGTAGCAGTTACAGACAGAATCCATAAATATAAAAACCAGAATGATGCATAAATATTAGGAAGCCAGGAAAAAAAGGAAGTTGACTAACTTGACTGGCTTTGTTTGTTTTTTTAAGACTCCCTGAAGTAAACTTTGTTAGAAAATGCTGCTTACTGCCACAGAACTTTCAAGTAGCCCCAACCACTTAGGTGATATGGATCTCACCCTGCACGTTAAGTTACTATAAAAACATATACACATACAATTGCACGGGAAAGCTTTAATTCCAGCGATACAAGTAGAAGACTCTTCTCCACAGTAATAGTAACAAAATCCACACCAAACATGGCTCTGTGAGAAGACTGTGGTAACTGTGGATCCTACTGTAATTGCACAAATGTTCTCAGTGTGCAAATGAGCAGTGACTCTGGGCCATGCACACAACCTTATCTTTCTTGTATTCCCACAAGACCACCTAAGAAAGGATGGCTGCAACTATTCACAGTTCCCTTGGGGCTGACAACTCTGAAAAGTTGAAAACGATGGGCTCTCACTATATTAAAAAGAAAAAAAAAGGTCAGAATGCTTATGACAGTCTTCCGCAGTCAGTACTAGTACATGAAATGTTTTCATAGTTACTGGAATGACTTCTTAAGGATGATATCAAATTACTTCTAAGAAGATGGAGATAAACTGAGTAGCCTTCTGCCTACAGAGGCAGATGTATTATTTGTCAGTTAGACATATTTGCTTTATAAGGCAATAACTTGGGATTATTTCTTCACCCAGCGTGTAGTCAAAGTTATCATAGGTATTTCCTGCAGGTTCTGTTACCTCATTTATGGAGATGGCCATTCGTAAGTAGTTCTCTCTTACAGCTAAATTCTATCTCTAGAGTCTTTGTAGTTCTCATACAGTGCCCTTAATACTACCTGAAGTTGGTAGGGACACTGGTTCATCAAGTTGCAAGTAGACGAAGCTTTGGCAAAATAGTGCTGCTATTACATTCTGGCATCTAGCTGTTCTCATCTGGAACGGGTGGTTCGGCTAGAGAAACTGAACTTTAGAGGTAGGTGGGAGTTGCTTACTTCTCCGCAGAAGAGGAGAGAAGAGACTAAAAGAAAAGAAATCTTTAAAACACTATTCCACGTATTGCCTACATATTCTCCAATAGTAATATGTCTCCACCACAAAACACACCAAAAGTTTGCTTTCCCGAGGCTCAGCAAACAAGGCAGGTACAATGGACTTCCTCTCTTATGCAGCAGGCAGTACAGAGAATTACGAGCTTCTTTTCATGCAGCAGTGATCTGCGACAGTACATGAATAAGAGAGTGTTTAGGTAAAAAGACTTACACCTTGCTGCAAAATGCAAAGACTACATTCTGACTACAAACACATTCTGAGAGAGGGTAAAAGAATTCTTTGCTTTATTTTTTTTTAATATTGAAGATTACAAATGCCTATTTAAGTCTTTGTCAGACATAAACCCTCCTGTGAGCAATGAAAACTTGTTAGAGGAAGCCTGACCTTGTTTAAATACAAAACTATAAACCCGTGACCTTTTCGCAAGTCTCCTGCAATTAGTATTCCAGGAAATGACTCTGCAGAAGACCTTATAACAACCATTATAATAATAGCATATTTTTATTAGACAGACACTGACAAAATGCAAACCCCTTAGATTTGTAGAATCGTATAAAATTAAGTTCCTGACACCAACCACTCATTATAATCCTGTTCATTCTTATAAATTACCTTAGTTTGGATTGGCTTTTCAACTATTCTTTATGTTGTACAAATAGGTAAGTAACTATGCATTGAAGATTTTACAGTGGTTTTTAAATGACTAACCAAAGGTTAGCTGCTATTTGCAATTTCTCTATATATCACAATTCAGTCCTTATGGCAGTCAATCTACAATCAACACAAGCTGATTTCTCCTAACTTCATCTCTTGTCTGCCTTCTTGTGTGCAGCCATTGGAAATGAAATTAAAAAACAATCCTGGCTCTCAAAGCACAGGCATTTCAGAAGGTAGGATTTGCATTTCACTTTGTTTATGAAGAGATCTGAAGCTGGCAAATACAGCAAGGACAGAAGAAAAACCATCCAAAATTGTTAGATTTTAGAGAGATCAAATATTAGAGTCACTAAATGAAGTCACTGGGTACAATCTCATAAAAACCAAACATGGGCATTATTATGAAGTACAGTTATTTTCAGAAAAAATATCTTATAAATATTATTAGATTCTGATAGAGCACATCTGGTAAAGTGACAATGAGATAATTTTTACCAACTCTGTAACGTGAGATTCAAGTGGTGTGGATTTTATTATTTTTCACGTTGCTTCTGCTTTAAGACTCCAGCCACACTTATACCTTTAAATGATGTATTTAGTGATAACTGTATAAATCAGTGCCTCCAGTAGTTTTGTTTTGCTGGCATCTGATTATGATACCCTAAAAACACAAGGCATAAATCTTTAACACATTAGGTAATTAAGCACTATATCAAAATGCTGTGGAAATGATGGGGTGTCTGTCAGCTCAGGTTTTCAAATAACAATCAAGTACACATTTAAAACTGTTCACTTCAGCGAAACATGAAAATCTAGGCTCAATATCAGCATAATTATAAAAACTAAACACATGCTGTTTCCATTAAAGGTGAGAAAAGAATCTTTTACAGAGATGGGATCTTTCCACTACTTGTGCTGATGTAACTGCTTAGATGTAAGAGAAAGCCAGGTGAGTACCAGATGCTCTTCATCACTTTAAACCATGTCTGCAAGAATCACTGGAGTTGAGATGCCTGTAACCTCACACAGTAATTTGTTGCTCTTTGTTTTTTCACTATATTCCAGAGAAACTATCTCTGTAAGAACAGATGACAGCCAAGCCACGTGTATATATATATGCCTATAATAGCTTAAAATAAGGTGGGAGATACATGTTTCACATATATACACAACAGTGTAATTAAATTGAAGGGCAAGTAAGGACTCTATCCTCCTCAAATTTGAGCTATATAGTGTTTAATGACTTCTTCCTTCTTGGACAGAAACCAAACAGCCAAGTTTAGACACTCTCTTTTTACTTGCTCCCACGTGCACACAGTTCTATGAATGCTACTGGGAAGTGATTAAGACAGTAATAATATATATATACACATTTATATATATATAAATGAGGAAGAATCTAGGGAGACAACTAGAAAGATGGAGGTTTATGGAGACTACAGTGAAACTTTAGAAAGAAGGCAGTTGGTGCGATTGAAGGGTATTGGGATTTACAACTAAATCAAAGAAATTAAGAACACCTATGGAATACAAGAAGAGAAAGAAAGGCATGTAAAAGTCAGAGAAAACCAAAGGAAATAGGTACAGGAGAGAAAAACAGGGAGAAAGAGGAAAAGACCAAACAAAATAAAAAGAAAAGGAAAAAAAAAAAAGAGAGAGAAAACAAAGAGATAAAGTGTTCCTAAACAGAAGCAGGAACACAGAGGAGAGTACTATATATGGAAATACAAAAAAAGGAGGGGGTGAGGGCGATGGGAGGGGAGGGAGGGAGGAAGGGGCAGGGAGAAACTGATGCTTGATTTTGAAAACAGCCTTTGTTTTAGTCTGCACACACAGGGGCACTGTGCGTATGCAGGTCTCCAGCTTTCTCCTGTCTCCATACTTGGGACCTTTACACAAAGTTTGTCAATTCCTTTTCCCAGTTCTCTCTCACTGTAAAACTAGCCACAGATACCACGGAAGGCAGTCTAGTGTGGTGGTAAAGAAATATGTGCTGAGAAGGTATTGTTTTTCAGACCAGACCCACACTTTACAGGTAGCACACTCACATGCAACTAAACAAATAAGTATTTTAACAAATGAATGCCCTTCACTATTACTTCCTTAGATACTTTCTTCCTTATTGCAAAAATATACGGAAACCCTCTTCTGACCAGTACGAGGGCAGCACACTCTATCAGTCAGTAGGTTTACTGAAGAAAGTCTCTATGCACAAATGAAAACCAAAAATCAGTGGCAGAGGATCTGTGTGAGATTGCTTTTTTCCCTACAACTGTATAAAAATAATACTGTTGCAAAAATTTTACATAAAAATCCACTGAGTTCTCACTCTCGTATTACTGGACAGGCATTCTGGGATGGGGAAATAGGAGGACAAGGAACAACATCCCCCACAGCCTACAAGGTCAAAAGAATAAACCAAACAACAACAACAAAATCCATGACTTTGATCAGAAATGGAGACATGGACATATGTCTTGCTGCCCTGACATAGGACGGAAGAAGAACTGTTAGCCTACGAATCTTAAAATGCTGCAGGAAAACCCCCGCTTTTTATAGCTTGTGTTTTGAGATGCTGAGTTTGTTGGTTTTGAAATGGTTGCGGTTTGTGTCAAAGGGTCTAGAATTTCACACCTTCTCCTCTGTCTAGTATAGTCTGCAAGTGTTAGAAGTGCTTGTGCTTTCAGTCTCTGATGAAGCGTGCAGCTAACTTGCAGCTGAACCTCCTCCCTACATGTCAATAATATTCCTTCATTAAGGAGACACATACTGGATAGTTATTTAAATCAGGTGTATGCATATACACAATGCATATATCATGTATCACATCAACACAGAATGATCAAGAAATGTCATGCAAGGGTATAGCAAGAAAATAATACATGACTAATATTATAGTATATATTTAGTGTGAGGAGAAAAAGGCCCATTAGTCCATGAAGACATTAATTTTGGAACTAAAACACAAAACCAAACCATTTTATCCTTTATTAATTTAATGAAAATTAAAATTTATTTCAGTTGTGTTGCAAATATTGACAACAAAAAGCCAGGTAATTTTAATACTGCCTCTATACTAGAAACTTCAGAATTCCCGGGAAATCGTGTTACTTCTGGGTAATTATACCTTGAAAGTTATAGACAGATTTAGTCAAAAACATACGGGCTATTCTTCTTGAACAGGCAGTATTAAAACTGAAAATAGCAAAGAGAAGAGAAGCAAGCTGATTTTTAAACATGCAAAGACACACACCATAGCTGAATGATATGCCTTAAAGGAAAACAAAGGGATACCTACTTTCTGCTGCTAGAAGTCCTAGTAGGAAGGCAGCATTTGGACAAACAACAAACAGTATGAAGATTTCAGAACAAGCGATTTATAAAGCTGCAACCTAGCACACTAGTTTAGCCACAAAATAGTATGAACAAAGTGACAGGCCCCCCCCTTTTTTTTTAATATGGTTTCTATGTGTGAAGCAAATGCAACTTGCGACTGAGATGGGAGGAAAACAAACACTTGGCAATGGGAAGGTAGCACATGTACGCAGTGTTAGGTATCTATAATACCAGACTTTTCTCAACATTGGTTAAACTATTTTAAAAAACTCATGGACAAAAAAATGACTTAAAGTAAGAATATTGTAAGAGGTGAACTGACAAACTATTTCAACATACTGTAAATGAAGCATAACATGATATTAATTAATATATTTACTAGCTAGAATTTAGCAATATTATATTGAAATCAATTTTTTTTTACAAAAGGTGCAGTGAGAACCATTATGAGAACCATTTAGAAATACAATCACTTTATTATTGATTTTAATTTACAGTGGCTTTATATACTTAAAAGTTTTTGTACTTAAATGTACCGGAACAAAGACTAAATAGCTGAAAAATCATAAAGATAATAATGGAGTATTGGAAACACTCAAACTTGTGATCTCAAAACTGACAGTCAGTTATACCTGTAATACTATATAAGGATTTAATAACAGTAAATTATTAGGTGAATGTAATTTTTTTTCCCCAAGCACTCATACTGAAAAATGTTACACAAGACCCTTTGCAAATATTTACAAAATCATAGGTAATTTTTGTGTAACAACAATTTTTCTTTTTCTTCCTTGTGTCCATGAGACCGATCGTTTTTAAGATATAGGCTTATATTGTCCATATTTCATGGAATCTAAATCCCATAAAACCACTAACCACTCACTAAATTGTGAGTTAACTTAGTTCCACGTATGTTAGAAACAGGGATTTTACAACTTGGCCATACATTTGCTGTTTGATCTCACTCTGAAAGACTATCAGATTTAGCTTTTTTCCCATTATTATTACTTTCAAATTTGAAAATCAAGATCTCGTACTGTTAAAAATTTCTCATTTGATATGGCAATATAGAGTCTAACAAGATAAAAAAGAATGAAAATTTCAACTTACATACAGAAACCCTGAGACAAAATAGCAAAATGCATTTGTAAAAATGCCATATGAAGTTTGTGCCTTGCAGTTTGAGAAAACAAACTAGAAACACTGGCATAGACTAAATGTGCCTGCTTTCTGTGCAATGCAAAAACACTGCTTCTATGTTCATCACCTTACACTGTTACCACAGAGCTCAGAAAGCACATAAATGTTCAGGAAGTACTGCAACAGTGCTATTTGTTAGCCTAGGCTACACACATACATTTGGTCAGTCTCTTATAAAATATGCTGCTGTGCTTTCTCTGTGGTTGAACCGAAACACAGCATCATAAAATGCCTTACAGGAATCTAGAACCGTTTGCAGCAAAAAGCTAGTCTGAAACCTGTTAGTCACATTTCAGAATATGAGCACTCTAAACCAAGCAATTCAAGCAGGCACTAGAGAGGAAAGTCCTTTAGCCAAAAGGTAAGGTTTGCTTTAATCTAAAAATCAGTTATGCAGGTTTCCAAAGACTATGGACTATCCACTGGCTTAACTCCAACACTGACTCAGTAGTTCTGAAAATGTGGCTACAAAAAGGTTTTTGGAAATAGAAAGTTATAAAAAACCTCTTCGATTTATGGGCTTTTCTAACTGTTGGCCTAAAAAATTAAACATCCTGAATCTACTTAAAACTCCAAAGTAAACTAAAAGGTCTTCCTGAATTCAGCTTCCCAAGTCAAAATGTCAAACGATTCCACAGCCTTTCCTTGGGCTGCCGCAGAATGGGGGAGCTGAAGAAGCAAAAGGAGGAAAAATTAAAAGTTTTACCCTGGCGATGTTCCTTCTGCAGCCTGAGGCATTCTTATCAAAAAACGTGAAAATTATACCTCTGTACTCTCTGTTAGCGGACAGATGGCCAGCATATGACAGAATCGGAGGCAATCCTCTGTCTGGATCTAATGTGCAACCAGGTGATAGGAGGGCCAGGGAGGGCAGGGGAGAGGGGAGGGAGTTGGATGGGGAAGGGCAGCAGAGAGCAAACTGTGAATTTCTCTGGCACCTAATTAATTTCACGGTCCACTTCAAATACTCTCTACTAGGCCAATTTTTCTCATGTGCCAGATTTAGCCTTTAGAGCTGCTGATTGCTAACTTCTGGTTTGTGTTTGTTTCAGCATATTAAAAATATCCAAAACATTCACTGCCTTGGGAAATCGACATTTTACAATGTCTTGAAGACAGGCAACCTGAAAGTCAAAAGTTTTACATTCTGGCAAAAAATATTTGCAAGATGTCATTTGAGCTGTTTAGTGGCTTTACTAAAGAAGTTACTGAACACAGCCTATCAGCAGTAAAGTAATATTTTAGTTTAAAAATATTAAAACATTTTAAAAGCCTTTATCATACTCTCTCAGAATTCGGCAAGACTGACTTCTGCCATGTTACCAACAGAATGATAGCGGGATTAAGTTAAGTCCTTCAGAGGACAGTTGCTGACGAAAGAGGAAATAGATCACCCAGGACAAGCTGTGGGAACCAAGAATTATTAGCACGCTCTGTATGAATGAAAGGAAGATGTATACAGAAAAATACTTGGTTGACTTTAAATGAACTTTATCTGTGTTCATTCCCATCTAATTTAGTTATGCAATTTGCTGACCCTCATTGCAAAGCTCTCTAACAAGAATATCCTTTGTGATTCATCTGACTTGCTACCTATAGTGCCTTCATATCCCAGGCTATTACTCTGGTAGTATAGGAGGATGCTCAAAGGTTCCAGCAAACTCAGGTTCACTGAACTCTGAAGAAGAACACCTCTAGATTAATCTGGAAAAAAGACAGGACTGAAATTTTCTGTTTCTGTGTTTAGAAAGACCTGGAGGAGGACAGGATATACAATTTGCATAACCTAATAAGCATTTATATTTCTGCATCTTTATCTCAGTAGGAGTCCCACATTTGCCCCTTTCCGACAAATCATTTAATTTTAATGATAAGCTTCATGAAATTTTATGGGAGGATTAAATAGGCAACAACATTTAAATATTAAACGCTTTTCATTAGGGTTTATGATCTGGAATAACATTATGGGGTGTTAGGAAGGAAACTTAAATAACCTTAAGATAGTCAAGTTTCTACTGCAATTCAAGAGTTTTATGTCTAATTTCTATAAACTAGTTTAGTTTAGAATCATCAAAAGAGCCTGTGTTTACAAGCTAGAAATATTTGAAACCTTTATTAGTGTACTTCTGAAGAGGAAACAAAATAGATTTCCATATTTAGCAATTTCAGAAGCTGAAAGTTGCACTATCTTTTCTTGCAAGCCTCAGTGTTTATCCTGCGATATTAAGTATTTTATCAGCTCATGTAGTCAGTCAGGGAAACATCACGAAAACTACCCGGTTAGTATGGTGTCCTAATCACTACGATCTCCCATCGCAAGATCAATAATGTTATTTTGGAGAATAACTACACTTCCCTGAGAAATCCAAGCTATTGTTTCAGTTATTTCAGAGATGAACACAAGATAACAATGGATCCAGCACAGGTATTTTGTAGAGTTTACATGTGTACTGGATTCATGTATTCTGTGTGCGGAAAAAATAGAACTTGTACCTTTGCCGTATACTGATATCTGCAATTACATCACTCTATGAGGAAGACACATGCCCTGTTGATGTCAGACTGAAACTGGAAAGAGGAACTGCAGTTTTTAGATTGGGAAAGTTGCCACTGCCAGTCATGTTGGTGGGCTATTCATTTTATTGAAATGGGGGAAGTAGCTGTGAAGAAAAATTAAAGCACTGCAAGTAATTCTGGATGAAGTAAAACCAAGCTATTCTTTCTTTAAAAGAATATATGGATCCTTACTTACAAGTACATCAAGTATTCAAAAGCTGGCTGCCTGAAGTTAAGCCATGAGGCTGTAATTACCCATTTGCAATAAATGATCCGAGATTCCCATTCACTTCTATGGAAATTATGAGCAGTGTGCATCTCTAAGGACAAAGCAACCTTTTAATTTAGGTACTCAAACTTGAATTCCAAGAATTGAAATTTAAGAATTTCAACCAAAAAAATTGCCCCCAATTCCTATATCAATGACACTGAAATAATTTATAAAAATTACTTGCTCATATGAAAGAGCAGAAATATGCAGTCAGTAAGTAATTTTCTTACCTATAAAAACATTGGGAAAGAGAATTATCACACAGCAGTTCAGCACATGTAATTAAGTTCCTGAAATGTCTTCTAGTAAAGTCAGTGTATAGCTAAAATATTATGCAAGTACTACTTCGCTGTTTAGAAAAATAGAAGAGAGCGTCCTATTGGCCTTAAATTTTTCTTAAAAGTTCATTTAACTTTTTTTAGATCAGACAGACCAACTCTAATTTTAGATCAGACAGAACAACGCAGACTTTTGCACTGCAAATGTTGTGAGTAATGTTATATCAAAATTAAGATACATAACTATGACAGGACTGTGTTAGTATAGGGACTGCCAGGTTATTTAAATTCCTGTATATGGGCTGAGGACAAAAGGACTGCTTGGAGTAAGATCACTGTCCTGCCCAAGGCCTAGCTCACAGCACAGCAAAGGTATTATCCTCCCTTTTGAAGTATGTTGGGAGGTCCCTGAAGTACATGTATTGTCTCTGAAGATTTGGGGGTCTGGGTTATAGTATCAGAAATACTGTCCAGCGTGCTTTAAAGAGGAGACATCTTAATCATACTGTTCTTTAAAACAGGAGGTCAAGAAACTCTGGTACTCAATGGCTTCTTTTTATAAATAACTATTAGTAAGGTATGAGAACCTTGCTCCTGCCTAAGAATTCAAGACAAAATGTCAATAAGCTTTTACACTCAAGTAATATACATATGAGATTACAGCACTATTTGTAATTACATGTACATACAACAAATAAAAAAAAATCAGACAGAATTTCTAGAAAATTACAACTGTGCAGAGATTTTCTTCATTTTCTGCAGTCACTAACACCATTAGGACTGAAAATTACTTATGCTTTCCCATTTAAACGTTAACTTAATATGCAACTTTATGAAATGAGAAATTAGTAAATACTTGGTACTCTAGTCAGCATAGAATTAAGACAGATTGACTGCAGTAAATACACTTTCTGTTAAAATACCTGAGGAGGTGGGGTCTTCAGAGAAGTCTGGCAGCTCTTCAGGGGGGTCACCATAGAAGGAGTTGAATTTGTGGCTTGACACAGCTGCTAGTACTGCCCCCTGAATAAAAATATCCACAAAGTCTAAATTACACAAAGAAGGATAATGAAACATTTCCAGACACCTTGGACCACTCAGTCTCCTGAGGTCTTTCATGTGGTGACCTTCTCAGTGAAGAATAAATAAGTTTTATAGTCTTCAGCTCTGCTTCACTGTTACCAGCGACCATATCTAACAGAAGATCTGGTCATACACTACTCTAATAAACAGTAAATATATTCTTTATGAGAGGATTCATGAGAACAATTCTTCATGGGAAAGCATTTTAAAATAAGTGTGAGGCATACATTCCTATAGTACAATGTAAACAAAATAACTAATTTATTGCTCTTTCCCCTCTTACCTAGACTGGATGGCTTAGCAAGTATAAAAATCCACGCTTTAAAGCAACACAATATGTTGTTATTTGAGAAATTGTCAGAATCTGACACTGACAGCACTAGGATATTTGACATCCATAATATATCTATATGAAAATGTAATAATCCCAGAATGAGTGTTACATGGGAAGTTACAAAGCCAGAAGAATGGTTATCTGCTCTGACATATTTACTTTTTCAAGTAAATTACAGTTTAAGCACTCAGGTTTTAATGTCTTACAGTTGTGGCAGTAGGCAAAATGGACAACAAATAATTGCAGGAAACATTCTGCAGAACAGTCCTTTGGATAAAATGGTAGAAAACAAATAGCACTGGTATAAAAGCTCTCAGGAGACTAAATATAGTGGCCTCCCCAGGAAGAAATCTGGGAAAGATCTGAAACTGCGCTAGAGCAGGAAAAAAGGTCATATTCTAAAATGTCCTAGCTAACATTTTAATGAAAGCATTACCTGGACATACAAACCACCTAAGAGAAAGCGCTGTTTATGAGGAACACCCTTAACAAGACACCATTGCAATAAACAACTGTGAAGGCCTGTTTCAACTTTTTATTTTATTGCTGACTTCAGAGCATAGATTTCTCTTAGCACTTTTAAAATGAATAAAGTATCACACAAAATTCAAGTTACATAGTTATATTGTTTCAACACTACATTCATGTTACCTTTAGTTTTCGTCTTGCATTGAATTTTCTCAATTGTTCTACTGTTTCTGGAAGATGAATCTTGTATGCATAGCGATCTCTCTCCTTAAAAAACCCCGCAAAAAGAAAACAAAAGAAACATTAAATACAGGCTCTTAATATTCTCTCGACATTAAGGAACTAGGCAAGAAACGTACCAGCTAGTAAGTATCCTAAGGAGAATGAGGATTTGTTGCAACTTAAGGAAAATGTCAAGAAACTGAGAGGGATTAAGATATTTTGAAAGAATTCTTAACTTGGGCCAAGGATATTTTATTTTTGTAATTTTGTTTCCCATTTTGTAGTAAGACCCTAGCCTTTTGTTTTACTCTTGTGCTGTTAGTCAGTCTGTGGCTAGCATTGAACTTTGAAACTGGCAAGCACAAAGTAGTTCTGCTTCCTGGGATTCACAAATCCCAGTGAAGCAATGTGGTCAAGCGCTCTTTTAACGGGTGCTCGATACAGAGCAGGAAGTGCCAGCTCGATGGCTGCTGACACCAGGTGCAAGCTTACAGAAGAATTCTCCATTGCGGATGCAGATGAAAAATTTGCCAACGAACAGTGGATAGTGGGGGTAGAACTTGCAGCACTGACTACTTTCTCCCCCTGCCCCAAATCATCACAGAAGCTACATACACTTATTAATTAAATGTAAATGTTTATCACATGCATCTCCTGAATCAGAGTGAAATCACTGGCAGAAGTAATTCAGTCTCTTTATGGCACTAAAGATGTCCCTGTCTCATGCTGTATTTGGCTGCTATCTATAAATGGTTTAGAAGAAAATTCTGAGTCAGCAGGGAAGGCAGTTTATCACAGGCAAAAAGAAGAGAGGACTGACTGACAGAATGCTGGCCTAAGCTTGGAAACAAAGTTGTCTTAAACTAAATCTTTCTCCTTGCTTGTCTTTCAACAAACAGTGGAAAGATCAGAAAGAGACCACAGACATCAAAAGTGCTATGCTATATAGGAAGAACTTGCATATTTGCATTACAGAATTATCTTTTTTAAAAAGCCTAATCAGCTTAGTTGCTCAAACAACAAAAATGGCAAAGTTTTCTGCCAAAATAACCCTCAACAAAACCCTTGCTTTGGCATCTAAATATGGGTAAGCTCACAAAGTGAGGAAAAAGTCAAATTACTAGCAGGTAAAACCAGATCACCTATGTTTACCACAAACGCAGCCACTGGAGTATGATCATTTGGGATTCCCAAACACGGTGCCCATTCCTATGGTCTTTGAAATATTTGATGCACTATGTATGCCCCAGATGAACAGACAGAACTTCGGCTCCTTTCGAGTGGAAAGGTTTGAACGCACAGTTTCCCAGTATTCAGAAGAGTGCCTTAACCACTCCACAAGAGTGCACAGTCCTGCCCTCCTTTTATAAGCTAGACCATTCTGCAGCTTGGAATACAAGTGTCAGAGCCAGAAAATAAGCAGAAAAGTGGGAGAAAAACTCCATTCACTAGTAGTTAGACCATTTACCTGGAGGAAGAACATATGAACCCGTGCTTCCAAGGTTCCTTTTTTGTGGTTTTGGTTTTTTTGGTCAATATTTGTCTAATGTAGAACATATAAACAGTCCAGGAGCAGACATCAGAACAGCACCCTTTCCAAGTAAGTGCCCTGTTTAAGCTAATGATATTATGACTCTCCCTACCCTGGGCCCACACTACAGAAAAGAAGTAGATGATAACAAAGAAAAATAGTTGATTGAGCAGTTTCTGCCAAAGAAAATACAATGCTCTGAACCAGTACTTGCTACCTTTTAAATCTGCAACAGACCCATCATTCTCCAACTCCAATGTTTAGCACAGCCTATTAATGGGACTACCGAGAAGCTAGGTGTATGTTCTCCTGCTCCTGTTGTTAATCTTCAGTTTCCAGCAACTACTCTTGCACTGGCTCAAAATGTGTTGTAAATTCTGCCACCACTGCAAAATAATTTGATTACCGGATGCCATACAATTTTATGTAGTTATAGCAGCCTTTGAGCAACACACCACTACCTACTTCCTTCACTCTGGTGGGATATTTCAGGAATCTAATGTAAGAAAGCAGCACAGTTAAGTAGCATAATGCACTGCAATAAACTGCAAGGCTACATGCGTAATATGAAAGAGGTCTAGTTATAACTGAGCAAAGAAGACATCAGAAATTACTCCTCTGGAGTTTGAGAGCCGCAGAAAGACGCATGAAGACCTTCTTGAAGCTTTATTCTACGCAGCCCTACTCTCTATACTGTGATGCTGCCGAAGATGCCTAAGTGAGTTTGCTCTTGCTGTTAAGCAAGAGTTCAAGTCTGGCAATTATCAAAATCTCAGGCTCTAATCTTACAAAGCATTTAAAACATATTATCACACATTTTGTACAATGTCATGTCTACTTTGAAAAGTTCAAAGAAAAAAAGAAATAAATCTTTTTCTCCCTTGAAGAGGAAACTGGTATGTAAACAGCTGTTTTTACTACCTTTAACCAGGGATGATTCAGTGCTTCATATACTGTTATCCTTTCTGCCGGATCCAGCATAAGCATGCGACGTACCAGATCTTTGGCACTTTCAGAAATATGGCTCCATTGCCTAGGATTCATCTGATTACAAGGAATAAAAAAGAAAATACACTTTTTATGTAAAGTAATTGCAGAGATTTAACAGTGGTTGGTATTTGTAAACATTTTATTATAGTAAATGTAAAAGGAAGTCTCTAAGTTTTTTAATAACTTACGACAATTGTACATTAGTTGCTATTGAAATGGCATAAAAAATTGAAAACAGCGAGCACTGTATCACATAAAAGCTGACATATCCTTGGTATTATCTTATAATTACAGCATAATTTTCTACCTATGCTACATTTTCTTCAGATAAAAGTGACCCTTCACTAGAAAAAGAAAAAATAGGCTTTGTCTGACCGTTAACTATGCCTATGATAAATTTAGAAATTAAATCTACTCCTGAAATCAGTATAAGGAATGGCATGACAGTCTATCTATATCAACCCACAGTTTCATGCCAGGGATGCTGAGTAAGAAGGTAGTAAGCTAATGCCTGTTGTGAACTACTCTGGTCCTGTCCCACAGGTATCGTGGACAATGGCTCTTCCCAATAAATTCCTTTCAACTTTACAACAGTTAAGCATCTTCAGCCACTCAGGTAGGAAAGCTTACTGACATGTGATCAACCGTACAAGCAATTGCAACACTTTTTAGAGCAAAACTGTATCTTTAGGAGAAACAATGTGAAGGATGATTTAGAATATATTTTCATCTTATGAAGGTTTATCATATGTAGGTTTATGTCCAACTGGTCGAGATGATGGACACTCGATAAAGCCATACTAAAGTAAGAAAATTCTTTCTGTGATGAAGGATTCTATCCTTAAGCTATTTCAAATATTTCTTTAATTTATGAAGAGCTTAAGTTTTATTTAAATGGTATACTGCTAATTTTACAAGGTACTAAATGAAAATTCAAAACTATAACCAGACTCTCTTCAATGTTATAATCTGTTCATTTAAAGAGGTCCATTTTATTTAAAATCAGTCTTTACAAAAAACGATGGCTTTAAATTGGAGCACTCAGGAACATTATATGGCTATGAAATGCACATTTATAGTTGTGATTTGTCATTTCTTTTTCAGCTCTAACGAAATGAAGGTAATTGCAAATTTGCAGCAAGACTGTTTTGAAATCATTACAGTATTTTCACTGAATAGACATATTATTGTGGAAACAGGAACAGAAAAGGAACTGAGAAGACACAATGTGCTGGCCATGACTTTTTTTTAAACAAAGAAAAGTTAACTTGTACGCTTCCAGAAGCTTTTAGCTGCTTAAGAGATTCCATAAAAAAATCTTCTGTAAAGTGAAACTGGAACGCCTACCAGTCTATGTAATCCCAAAGCTAATGCCATGAAGAAATCCTACTGTTTTTAGGAATACAAAGTTTAAAGAATAAAGAATGCTCCTGACCAAGTGCAGTACCACTGCTGTCACTTAAATTTTAGCAGACTACTGTTAAATTCATATAATAAAATAATTCCTAAACCATATTACAGACAATCAGGCAGTTTTAGAAGTTTCCACTCTTAATTGGCTAATACACAGATCATGTATGAGCTTGGTTGCAAAATAGAGCAAAACTCATCTTAGACAAAACCGCAAAAACAGTGAAGTCAAAGTGTTAAATTTGTCTCCATAATGGCTCTAGGATGCTTATGTTATGAAACACGTTTATCTTGCACGCACACCAATTTGCTTTCAGTTGCAAGTGGCTCCTTTTGAATCATCAGCTGTACTTCAACACATACTGTACTAAAAAGAAAAATGCATAACTACATTTTTACAGTAACATGCATTTGGTTTTAAACAAAGGCAATATGATGACCAGCCTTTATGATAGTTCTTTTAGTTGATTAAAAATACTAAATGATCCATAAAACTAAGGTAAAATACAGTATGTTATACTTCACAGCTAAACCTTATGTAATCCTACCGAGCCCAATGTATAATTAAGGGCTAGTTGTTGCACCCATTTATTATTTCATCTGAGTAAATATTTCCGTATTCTAATACCTAACTTTGATAAAAAACACAGCAGGAACAAGATAGACTGGAGAGAGAAAATAATCTCTCTTCCTGTGTAACACAGACAGATTTCTGTAAGCTTCATATTTAAATCAGCCTAAATACAAAAATCAAATTCCAGAAATTTTACCAGCAGAGCTCATCTCACTGGAAAAGGATTCAGGTACACTGTCATTTACCTTGTATTTTCCTTTAATAATGCCTTCAAATAATCTTTCCTTGGTTCCATAAAAAGGCAAACAACCGCTTAGCAGGATAAAAAGGATCACACCACAACCCCAAACATCTACAGGCTTCCCATAAGGTTCCCTTTTTACGACTTCTGGGGCCATAAAATGAGGTGTTCCTACACGTCCTAAATGGAAATAAAAACAAAATTGAGTCAAGGTGATGTGTGTCAAACATGGAAATGAAGAACATCACTGCGTTAAACTAAACGAGTTTTAATAAGTTTTGTTCATAGATTAAGCTTTTAGCACAATTCTTTTTTCCTTAAGTTTAGGTTTTTTAAATATATCCAGTGAGACAAATCAGTAGTTTCCCTTTTGCTTGATTTATACTTTTATAAATTGAGGAATATTCTATCCTACCCTGCAGACTGTGAAACAAGACTTTTATATGAGCACTAAGATTCTTCAGTGAAACATGCCATACGAAAGTAAAAATATCAATTTGGACAATCTTTGAAACAGGAATTACTTATCCAGAGAGCATGTACAAAGACATTGTAGAGTTCTAGTCTACACTGCTTACTTGAAAAAGCTGCCTGTAATTGGCAAAAGCATAGTTTGGTCTGATGCTCTGCCCAAACCTTAGCCCGTCTACTGAAACTGCCAACAAGAATGCAAATATGTTGTTCATTTATTTGAAGTAGGCAATATCTTACCGCAGATAAAAAGATAATGCAAATTTGTTTCACAGAGTGCTTTCAATGAGTGCCACACAGTAATGGTTCTGGGACAGTACTGATTTTGGATTGGTAATGAATGTACACTCACGGAAACAAAACATTTAGTACCAACTAATCTTTTGAGTGGATAAACTGATTAGAATGACTTCATTCCATTTCTACGTAACACATTAAGCCAATTAAAAGCAACAAACGTTTTACCTCTCCCTATAAATGTTTCCCATTTTAAAGAGGTTTGTTTCCCCTGCAAAAGGTTTCCAAAATCAAGATTTGAATGCTCAGGGCATTACTGATACTTACAAACACTGTAGTCTTTGAACTACCCTGGTTCCACCAAGTACCAACAGAAGAAAAAACCCACAACTATAGCAAACTGTTACCACTTGTACCACCTTCATAAATTATTCTTGCTCACTGATACTACAGCGGACTTCAGAGGCTCCATTCAATGCTTGCAGCACCTTTGCGCTGGCTAGGAGGGTTTACAATGCAGCCTAGAGGATTCGAGGTGTTTGCACGGCACGTATTTAATTCGGTCTTGTCTTGTAAAGAGACTCTTGCTAGACTAGCCTATCCCGCACTCCATTTGAATGTGAGTTAGCTAAGTCACAGCACCGGTAACAAACACCTACGAGACTACCTGGCAGTAGCTTAGTCAGTAAAGACCATCCTTCATGTATACCACCCAAAGCAGGAATACGATCTGACCATGTGTGCTGGTTTTGGCTGGGGTCGCACAAGAAGTTGGGAGGGGACACAGCTAGGACAGCTGACCCCGACTGACCCAAGGGAGATTCCAGACCATAGGACGTCATGCTCAGCATATAAAGCTGGGGGAAGAAGGAAAGGGGGGATGTTTGGAGTGATGGTGTTTGTCTTCCCAAGTCACCGTTACGTGTGATGGAGTCCTGCTGTCCTGGAGATGGCTGAACACCTGCCTGCCCATGGGAAGTGGGGAATGAATTCCTGGGTTTGCTTTGCTTTTGTGTGTGGCTTTTGCTTTACCTATTAAACTGTCTTTATCTCAGCCCACGAGTTTTCTCACTTTTACCCTTGATTCTCTCCCCCATCCCACTGTAAGGGAGGTGAGTGAGTGGCTGCAAGGTGCTGAGTTGCCAGCTGGGGTTAAACCATGACACTGTGCTAGCCCCCACTTACTTCTTTTTGCATCTACAAGGATGAAAAAACTGACAGAAAGACGGTAGCTTTTTCACCATACTGTTCTTAAGGAGAAACACCACCATTGTCAAACTTCTTCACCTGGCTTTGCGTTAAACCTTTTCATTCCCAGTTTATGAGGTGATCCCTCTGCCAAACAAATGTTAGGAATCTGTCTGTGACAAAGGAATGTTACCTCACCACTAAGCTAGGCTGGCATCTTAAAAAGTCCATGCAGTCCAGGCTGACATGATAGCAAAGGGGCAGTTCCTTCCCAGGCTAAAAAGAGTAAAACAGCAAGATGCTGCAGGTCTAGCTCATCCCTTTTATCACTGGGGGAAGAGGAAGGATATTTACTCTGGACAGAGAAAGACAGAGATGGAGATGGGGAAAGATTACTAATTCTTCTTGTTGGTTATACACAGTTTATAGGCTTATGATATATTTTCCAGCCTAACTGATAAACCTCAAAGCCAAATCTTCAAGATCACAAATATGAAGTAAAGAATTATCTCCTTAGATGACAGAAAGTCTCTCTCTTTTAGATGCCAGGTGTGGGGAAGGGAAAGAAAATGGAAAAAATTTATATCCAGTATGCACAAGTTGCTGAGAACTCTGTTTTTTTTTTCCTTTTTTTTTTTTTTTTTAATGTGCCTACAAATCTGTATCTCATCTCCATAGGTTTCCTAACTTTTTTCCCCCTAAGATGCCATTTGATGACAGCAAAAATATCAACATTTCCATCTCTGTATCAGGCTATGCATGTACATAAGCAGCAACACCTGCCTGATCAAACAGTATTTGTGTATCACTTAGACTGCTTATGTGACACTAGTGGTATGCATACCACAGTCTGGAAATCTTTAGTACAGACGACATCATGCAAGACTGCAGAGCAGCCTGGCTTACCCGAGTGTTGTTTATCTCAGTGGTAAACTTCCTGGCATTTGGGTGCAGAGGTACTCATTTGCAACTTTGGAGAAGGTATAACCTTTCTTACACATTGAAAAACACATTTCTGGTAATAAAGATCGTTTAAATCTTTTTTATCAATACAAATGGAAAACTGGGTATACTATGAAGATTCTGCCTTCCTACCAGGCTTTCTAATTGGTGTTATGAAATCTGGGAAGTCTAGAGAAAAGTGATTATTCAAAAGACAAACAGCAGAAAGCACTAGAAGACAAGATATCATAAGAACAAAGAAAGCGGTTTAAAAGAGACATTAAACTTCAGGGAGATACAGAGTCATCTGGATCAAGTAGCTAATGAAACTAAGAATCCTATGTATCAAATGGTTTCTAAGTTGATTTAATGTGTATTTCCAATAATTGTGTGCCACTCTTCTCAGCTTGGGACCTTCTCTGTGTTTTAAGTAAACAATTGCAGAGATGAACATGGTAAAAAAATTACCATGTGCTGTGAGAAGTAGACCTGAAGGTTTGGGGTTTGGTTTTGGGGTTTTTTTGCCAGTGCGTTTGTCTGCTGGGCATTTGCAGTACAGTGAAGGCTGACCTATAGAACATCCTGTTCTGAGGAAAATGTGTACCTGCAAACAATTACCCACCCTACATTTTCTCCTATGGTGTAAAATAGTATATTTAGCAGCTACACATGCTACATAAGCAATGCAATAGCAGTGATGTGTGTGGGTGTTTAGGTGTCAAGGTGGTGGCAGTGGGGGGGCTGCAGGGGTGGTCTCTGGGAGGAGAAGCTGGGGCTGTCCCATGCCAGACACGGCCCGTTCCAGTGGATGCACCGCAGGGCACAACTGAGCACAGCAGCCGAGGTGGTGGTGCCTCAGAGAAAGTGTGTATAGGAAAGGGAAAAACATTGCCCGACAGTGAGGAGTTTGGGAAAAAGTGTGAGAGAGAGCCCGCGAGCACCAAGGTGAGAGCAGGAAGAAGTGGAAGAGGTGATCCAGGTGCCGCAGCAGAGGTTCTCCTGCAGCCCCTGGAGAGGCCACGGTGGAGCAGGTACGCCCCTGCAGCACCTGGAGGACCCCACACCAGAGCAGGTATCCATCCTGCAGCCCATGGAGGACCCCATGCTGGAGCAGGTGGATATTGCCTGAAGGAACTGAGGCCTGTGGAGGACCCATGCAAGAGCAGGCTTGTCCTGAAGGACTGCAGCCCGTGGGAAGACCCATGGAGAAGCGGGGGGAAAGTGTGAGGAGGAAGGCATGGTAGAGAGGGGCTGTTATGGACTGACTGCAGCCCCCCCCATTCCCATTCCCCCTGCACCACTCGGGACTTGGGGCTAAGGGAGTCAGGAACGAGAGAGTGAAGTTGAGCCTGGGAAGGGGAGGAGAGAAGGCGGTGTTTTCATTTTTGTCTTTGTTTCTGACTACCCAAATCTATTTGAATTGGCAATAAATTAAACTGGTTTTCCCCAAGACAAGTCTGTTTTACCCGTGATGGTAACTGATAAGCAGTTTGCACGTATTTACCTTGACCCATGAGCTTTTCCATCCTATTTTCTCCCCCTGCTCTGTTGAGGAGAGGGAGTGAGGAGTTTGGCCCTTAGCCAAGGTCAACCCACCACACGTGGTTATGCTGGTATTAACATACAGAATACTGATTAGATGGGAAAAATAAGATGAATCTTCCTCCAAAGATACAGCTTGTTTCTTTCATTTTTAGTTTTCAAGTATCACCTTACCCAATTTAATCATGGGCTGTATAAAATAAGTGATCTACAGTGTCAAGAGAATATTAAAAGTGCCTATTTTTTTGCTTCCTTCTCCCCTTCAGCAAATAATGTTTCAAATTAAAATTACTTTGCAGAAGTTGATAAGCAAGAAAAAATCCTTCATTATTTATACACACTCATAAATATATGCAGAACAGAATAGTTTCTTGAAACTGAGCATTAATCAGATTCTCTATATTTTGCAAAGCAGGGTCTTGATGGTGGACAACAATTGCAGATTTCCTTTCCCCCTCCACTTCCTGACCACAGGGTAAGACAATACAAAAATACTTACAAAACCACTGAATATCAACAAGTAGCAAACATAACTTGCAACAGTATGCTTATCAAAATTACAGACAAAACATAATATGCAAGCATCTCTTGTGCAGTAGCCATCCACTGCCAGCACTCTGTTCATTATCAATGACCTTCATCATATTATAGTTATTTTTCATTGACACTTTTTTTCCTAACAGAAAAGCTTCTTGAGGTTCATTTCCTACTTTCTATGTGACATTAGACAAATTATAGCCTCTTGATACTTCAAGGTTCCTATTCTGCTTTATCTGGTGACCTCACATCTGAATGTGAGG